GCGTGGTGCGCCGAACTGCTCAACACTGCCTTAACCGCCGCCAGCATCCAACCACCACGCCGTGACACAGAGTTCAACTTCCTACTGCGCCAAGCAACCCTCCCAGTAGCACTGGGTGGGCTAGGCCTCACGGACCCCACAACAGAAGCAGCACCAGCCTACCTGGCTTCGACAACAGAGGCGCTACGCCTGCTCCGCTCACTTGACCTCCCAGCAACCTCGGCGCTAGGGAGCAACAGCAACGCTCTACAGCCGTCGGCAGCACACTCGGTCACCATCCAAGACATGGAGGGACGACTGCCACCACTGGCACTGCAAATCCTCCGCGGGGAACAGGAATCCCCGTCCCAAGACCAGCTGCAGCGCGCCCTTTCCCAGGAAGTACATGCGGCAAAAGCCGACGGCCTGACAGAGGAATCACGCGCAATCAGGTCTGCCCCCGAGTTGGGGCACACACTCCGCCTCGTCAGCCTGAGAGGTGAGGGAGCGGGGGCATGGCTGCAGGCCCTACCCCTGACCCCAGACCTCTGCTTTTCACCAGGGCAATTCCGAACAGCCCTGGCCTTCCGCATGGGCATCCGACAGAACGTACCCACCGTGTGCGAATGTGGAGAGCTCGTAGCCGACTGCAGCCTCCCCAACCACATACTCCGCTGCAGCACAGGCCCTGACAGAACACGCACACACAACCAGCTGGCTTTCGCCGTGGCTAAAATGGCGAGGGAGGCACAGCTGGTGGTATACCTGGAGAACGCGATGTACTCACCACCGGATGACCCGAAGAAGGCAGATGTGATTGTACGCGACCCAGACAGTGGTGAGACATGGATCACGGACACGACCATCACTGACCCCGTGCTACAGAACCGTGACCCAGCAGCCCGCAAACCCCCTGGATGGGCTGCAAGGGAGGCTCAGAAAAGGAAGGAACGAGACTACTACAGGCACACAGAACACGTGGTGTTCTGCGCCCTAGCTGTTGAGACCTATGGGGCAAACGCACCCCCCACAACGGCGTTCCTGAAGCTGCTGGCCACAGCAGTAGCTAGGAACCGCTTCAGGGCCAATCCCTTGGCGAAAACCGCCAAGAAAATGGCCTGCCACTTCAGCCAGCGCTGGTCAGTGGCCCTCCAGCGCTCTCAAGCAAATGCCCTGCACACCAAGGCCAGGGCAGGGATCGAGGCGGCGCACCCCCAGATGGCAGCAGACCCATGGCCGCTGCACCTGGGGGACATCCTCCACACACTGGAGGGGCAGAGGGTCTAAAGGGAACCACAAATCAAACCGTATGCTTGTACCCCCGCTGAATTAATACAAAGGACCATTTGAGAGAGAGAGAGGACTTAGCCTCTGCCCTCTGCCTCTGCCCTCAGTCCCTAGCTATTTAAGTGTCCCGTGGAGACCTCTTTTCTTCTTTAGTTCATTTGGTTCCAGTTTTCGTAGGCGCTCGCGCTGGTGGCCTTCGGCCGCCAGCACTCGCGTGCGCGGCCTGCGGCCGCGTGCTTTTGGGTGGCAAAGACTAGAGGTAGGACAGATATAGGCACACACGGCAAGACAACTATGGGCAATGTGCCCACCTTCTAGACACCGAGATGCAATAGGTCTACATACGGCGGGTGCCTGAGGCTACATCAAGTGGGCATCCAGTGCCGCAAGGATACCGCGCATGGTCCTCCACAACTGCTGGACCACTAATGCGGTCGCGCCGACAGCTTCAATCGCGCCTCCATCGCGGAGGTGTGCTGTCAGACCCTGGACCGTCTCGTCCAGCTGCGAGACCGCTACGCCTCCCAGTGCGGGCGCTCCCAGCACGGGTAGGAGGAGGAAGGCAAGCTGGGCAGCAGCCGCCATGCAATCAGCTCGCGCATCACGATCAAGAGTGCTCCCTGGGTTCCGGAGAATGGCAAAATGTGAGTTCACCAGAATCAGTGTCAGGGCCTGCTGACACTCCACCAATCGCCACAACTGGGCGAGAGTCGCCGTGGGAACTTGGGCCAGCCCAGTGGTCAGTAGCGCAGCCAGAACAGGAAGAGGGGGCGGGGGCTGCACTGATGGAACATCAGCACGCTGCCGCGGAGGGACGAAGGCCACCCTCGCCTCTCCGCCCCCCGCCCCCACAAATCCCGTGTCTGGAAGAGGAGGAATCCATGGCAGCAGGGGATATGGCGCAGCAGAAACAGGACACAAGGATGCACGCGGAGCACGATCAGCGCCAGGAGCGGGAACCCGCGGGTACGCCAATGCGGGTGGCGCAGGAGCAGCAAGGGGCGCGGCCGGAGCTTGCGCATTCACTGGAGCGGGGGCGGACGCAGGAGCGGCGGGAGCCAGAGAGTTTCCAAGATTCGGTGCGCCACTCAGGGCACTGCGCATCGCCGCAGCTAACATCCCCGGGAAATCCTCGCGCAGCTGCTGCATCTCGCTTGGCCCACCGCGCCCGCGACCGTGACCTCCCCACCAGCCACCGCGACCTCCGCGGTGCGCCGACCGGTACGACGAGGAGGGGCGTCGCCGAGGAGAACCTCGCCCCCGATGCGCTGCCGCATTGCCCCCCGCGGCACCGTGAATCTGAGACTCCGCGTGCCGCTGCGCGACGGGATGCACCGGCGCAGCCGCAGGGGCCACCAGGCGGGCAGAGTCGGGGCCGGCGCCCACCGCTGTCCCCGGCGCAGGGCCCCCGGCGGCAGCTTGGACAGACAGCGCGGCCACAAGCGACGGCTGCGCGACGGGAACCGGCGCGCCGGACGCGGGATCAACGTGTGGAAGGCTCGGAGGGGGAGCCGACACCGGCGGGACTGGAACAGAGGACGCCGCAACAGCAACAGGAGGAGCCGGGGGGGCAAAGGGAGCAGCAGCAACAGCTACACCAGCAACAAGGGCCGGAGGCGGAGCAATCGCGCTCTCAGCGGTGTGACCTTGATCCACCGCTGACTTCTCCGCTTCAGTCGCCATTGCGGCGAACGCGCCGACAGCAGGTGATCGAGGACGCACGGCTGCGTCAGAACGCGGGAGTAGGTAGTCACGGAAATCCCCAGCTGACCGCGGCCAGTGCGCGGGCACGAGGGGGTCGAGCCGGAGGTCGCGGACGTGGTAGAGGCACTCGTGAAGGAGGTCCGGAGAACGCGTTCCAGGCAGCGGCGCGAAGGGCTTTAACTGAATTAGCTAGAACTAACGAAGAAGTAGAAGTATCGGGGAGTATTTATGAGGCGGAGGAGGGAGAAGAAGGCGCACCCTCAACTTCGAATGCCTCGGAGGAGGCCCAGTCACAAACTCCAGCTCGGGGGAGAATCAGCTCAACCCATGCCCGAAGCGCGTCATCAAATTTCAGAAACACATTCACCCAGCCGCGACCCTCACCACAGATTCAAACCGCTTCCCGCCCCCCTGCCACCACTGCCAACCATCCCGCCCAACCGAACCTGACTTCGCCACCTGCAAATGCACCGCGAACTGCAGCGAGGGGTAACCAACAGCAACCACAGCCCCCCCCCCAAAAATCGCCCGAAGCCCTCGCCAAGGACGACACACTATTCGCGAACGTCAGTACCTGGAATCTGGATAAGCTACGCGATAGTCGCAACGCTCCGCTGGCACGTCGCCTGCCGGAAAAATTGCGCCTACTTTTCGCTATGGTTATGCTGACACCACTGCTACGACTCGCACACGACCCAGACTCCATCCCGGCCTGGACGATTCTGCTGTTCGCGGCTCGCCTGACGCTGCGTCAGCATTCGCCGAGGCACCCTGACTGGAAGGCGACCAGGGAAAGATTGCGTAAATTCCTGCGAGGGGAGTGGGAGGCACTGTACCAGGAAACGGTTGATTCGTTGGAGTCCCCTCAGCCACCTAGACACCAGCCAGACGACCTGGGGGTAATATCAAGGGCAGAGGGTCTGGCGCGACGAGGCAGCTTACGCAGAGTAGTCATGGCACTGGAAGCCACCCCAGTCAGCAAGCCATCACCGGCGGTTCTGGAATCCCTCCGCGCCAAGCATCCAAGTGCCCCGCGCCTTGGCACACCGTGGCCCCAGCCTGAACCGGACTCATACCTGGCAGTTTCGCGGGAAGTTTTTCTGAAGCTCCTCTCGCGGTGTGAGAATGGGGTAGGCGCAGGTCCCTCGGGCACAAAGTTCGAGCACCTGCGCGAAGCTGCCCTGATACACGCCACCATTGGGTATCACTTACATGCGTTGGTCAACACAATCCTGAGAGGGAAGTTGTGTCAGGAAGTAGGGAAGCTTCTCACAGCATCACGTTTGATAGCCCTAGACAAGCCCGATGGGGGGACCAGGCCGATCGCCATAGGAGAGTGCGTCCTCCGATTGGCAGCCAAAGCAGCGCTTACCCAGCTAGCAGAAGCAGCCCGAGAGTTTTTCCTACCTTTACAGTTTGGAGTGGCCGTGCCAGGAGGTGCCGAAGCAGTCATTCATATCGTTCGCACTTTCACTGCGGCCAACAAGGACGCCTTGGTCTTACAGGCTGACCTGGCCAATGCGTTCAATAGTGTTGACCGCCACGCCATGGCGACGGCCTTGAAAGACTCACAGTTGGAACCACTACTGCCACTGGTACACTTCTCATACGGCCAGCCTTCAATACTGCACCTAGACGCGGCCTTCGACCATCCGCCCCTGCTCAGCGAAACAGGAGTCCGCCAAGGGGACCCTCTCGGCCCCCTCCTTTTTGCCGCCGCCATGCAACCGGCTCTGAAGGCAGCTGCGGAGGCGCACCCCGAGGTCATCTGCTTGGCATACGCAGATGACGTGACCTTCTTGGGGGAACCGTCGTCGTGCGCGGCTGCGTTTAATCACTTCACAAGCCGCTTGGCTGAAATAGGGCTCAGCCACAATCCTGCCAAATGCGGGGCTTGGTCAGAAAGGACGCCAACGGATTATCGCCTTCCTGAGGGAATACCACCGAGCAGCGAAGGCTTGAAAGTGCTGGGGAGCTACATCGGCTCCTCCTCGGCAACCTCTGCCTTCGTTCGTTCCAGCTTGGAGGCGATGGGCGCGCCGCTGGGGTTGATAGAGCGCATGGAGCCGCAGCTGGCGGGACTGCTGCTGTCCCGCTGCATCTCACGGCGGGTGTCATACTTAGCCCGCACAACACCTCTGCCTTTCCTGCCCAAGGAGGAGTGGTCTGAATGGGGAAGGCGGCTGCTGGAAACGCTCCTTACAGCATGTGGCATTAACCACCCGCGGGGGGATGAGGAAACTTCTCGCACGTGGGCGCAAGCCTCACTACCCATATCGCTCGGTGGCCTGGGGCTGACGGACCCTTCCGTGGAAGGAAGCTACAGCTTCCTCGCCAGCTACACGCAGGCGCAGCTCTTACTCGACTCCTTGGACAGCGAGTGCTCTGGCCCTTTGGAAGTCACGCGCGAGCTGATGCGCGGCCCCTACACCGAGTCCTCCCCCCTGACCGAGTGGCTGGCGGAATGCGAAGGGGAACTCCCACTTCCAGCCCAAGAAGTTCTTCAGGCTGAGAGATCGGCTCCAACTGCGGGGAAACTGCAGCACGGGTTGGCCATGGCTATCCAGGGCCAGCGCTATGCCATGCAGGTGGACGAGGTGCGGGGGATGAGCCCGAACCCCAACAACGGTCACACGCAGCGGATGCTGTCCCTGTCGGGATTTGGGGCGGGGGATTGGTTAAACGCAGTGCCTATCCACTCCTCGCTCCGCCTTGAGGCTCCCCACTTTGCCAACGCGCTCCAGTTTAGGCTGGGGCTCCCATTTGCGGCCCCTGGGGTTTGCAACTGCTCGAAAAAGGTGGAGATCCCGGATAAGCGGCTCCCGAACCACCTGCTACGATGCGGAACAGGGGGGGGGCGCACAAACACACACAATGAACTTAGGGACGAGTGCGCACGGATGGCGCAAGACGCAGGCTTCATGGTGCATATAGAGACGGCCGCCTTCAGCCCAGTGGAGGAGAAAAAGGCAGACCTGGCCTTACGCTGCCGCTCCACTGGCGCCGTCTATATCTGCGATGTGACGGTAACGGACCCCATCAGCACCCGCGATGAGAACGCCACCAAGGGGAGGGGGTGGGCGGCACGGGAGGCAGCGGATAAGAAACACGGCCTTTACAAGGACCGCCCAGAATGGGTGAAGTTCTTCCCGCTAGCGGTCGAGACATATGGGTGCCCTTGCCCAGAGTCAGTTGACTTCCTGAAACTACTCGCGGAAACAGCTGCACGGCGGTTTTTCAACGCCGAGCCAACCTCCTACCAAGCTGCCAAGCTCTTACACCAATACCGGCAGCGGTAGTCGGTGGCTCTTCAGCGTGGGCAGTCGATTGGGTACCTGGAAAAGTGCAACATAGCAGCAGCGGTTGAAAACCCGCTACTAGAAGCAGTGGGAGAGGCCCCGTCCCTTGGGGACTGCCTCTCGGTTCTTGATCCTGCACTGGATCTCACTTAGAGGGTGTTGGGCGGATGGGTGGATAGGAACTTTATTCTGTACTAGCCACGTGACCACGTTCACGTATGTCTTGCATGCATGTACACCCTGACTATCAATGAACGGGCCATTAGAGAGAGAGAGAGAGAGAGAGAGAAGCAAGGGACTTAGTCTTTTCCCTCCTAGGCTCTTCCCCTCTCTTCCCCAGCTATATAAGGGCCCCTTGGCCTTCTCTCCAGCTCATTCTTCATTTGGTGTCTCTGATTTTTCCGGTTCGTTCGAGAGAGCGAGAGAGAGAGAAGCAAGGGACTTAGTCTTTTCCCTCCTAGGCTCTTCCCCTCTCTTCCCCAGCTATATAAGGGCCCCTTGGCCTTCTCTCCAGCTCATTCTTCATTTGGTGTCTCTGATTTTTCCGGCGCTTCGCGCCGGCGCTCGCGGGCGCGGCCTGCGGCCGCGCGCTTGGGACGACAAGGACAATAACAAGGACGGCTGGATGACGGCAAAAATGACAACCATGGCAGACAACGACAACTAGACAAGCTACCATGGAACGGGTCTACACACGCGCGAGGGGGCCGCCTACATGCAGTCCGCCTCAAGCTCACCAAGCATTTCGCGCGTGGTCAGCCACATCTGGCGGACCACTGACGCGGTGGCGCCGACAACGTCAACAGGAGTTCCACGAGTTGCTACAAGGGTCCTCAGACCCAGGGCCGTCTCAGCCAGCAGGGTGGCCGAGACTACTCCCGGCGAGGGCGCGACCTGCAGTGGCGATACGAACGAGAATAATGCTGACGCCGCCGCGTGACACCTTGCTCGCGGCATCTGAGAGAACGTGCTCGGCGGGGTCTCCAACATGGAGCCATGCGACTCCTGGAGAATCAGCTCAAGACTCTGCAGGCACTCCGCCAACGACCACAAGTGCGCCAGGGTCGCCGTGGGCACTGGCTTCATCTGCGGGGGGAATGCAGACGCGCGAGATCGGCGAGCCGACACTGCCAGATCACGAGGAGCAGGGAGGGGACGTGGCGGAGCGAACTGGGCCCACGGGTCCCCGCCACCCGCGCCAACAAAGCCAGTCCCCGCAGGCAGCGGACGAGCTGAGCGCGCCGGGGATCCCACAGGATTATGGGGCAGGAGCGCGGCGAGAGGAGCGACTGGAGCAGCAGGAGGAGCAGATTGCGAGGACGACCCCGCATGGGAGCGGTGGAGAGCTTTCTCCACACCGTCCAATTTCTTCAGGACTTGCTCCATCGCGGAAGGCGCCGGACGCGCAGCCCCGCCGCGACCGTAACCCCCCCGTCGCCCACGATGCGCACGCCCACTCGCGCTCGAACGCACAGGCGACTGTGGGCGAGACAGGCCCCGCTGACGCTGGCGGTCAGAGGAACGCTCCGTGCGACGAGGAGAGTAGAGCCGCTGGCGCTTCGCAAGAGGGGGAGAACGTGGCGCCAAGGACCGATATCCAGACGCATGACGAGCAGGCGATCGCGGACGAGAGGAGCGGGGAGCGGGAGAACGGTGGCGATACGAGCGGTGGTCACGGGAACGGCTCCGTGACACCTTGCGCCGAGGAGATCGAGGAGACCGCGGTGATCACGGAGACCGCGGAGGCGCGAGTCAGCGCGACGGTCGTCGTGGCGGCTCTCCCGCCTACCGTCGTGGGCCACCGGCGAACGATGGCGAGGCGAATGCCCCCGGTGCGCCACAGCCTCTGCGCCGGAGCGCGCGACGGACCCCACACGCGCAGGCTCCCCCAGAGGCAAGGATCCGCCTCCGAGCAGACCCAGATCCCGACGCTGATCCTCAAAGCGCCGATGGATCTCGTCCGCAGCCGCCGGCGGAGCAACAGGCACGCTCGCGGCAGGACGCGCGGGAGGAAGTGGACGGGGAGCAGGATCAACCTCCACGGCGCGGTCACAGCCCAGAGCACCGAGGAAGTCCATCGGCCTCCGCTCTAGGCGCGCCACTGGCCCGGGACGGGCCGATGACCCCGATCCCCCAGGCGCAACAGGCCGCACCAGTGGCCGCCACTCCGAGGAGCGGGCGGGGAAGCACGCGGGGAAGAGGCGGGCGTCGAGGAGCACGCGGAGTACAGCGCAGCGCAGGCCTCGCGGCAAGGGGGAACCCCCGCCAGCCACCGAGCCCAATCTGGTTAGGGGAGCCGGCGGAACGAGTCACGCGCCAGTCGTTCGCCAGGCGCGGGGCGAGGGGTGGAAGGACAGCGCAATCAGGGAGAAATGGCGATACAAATGCAGAGGGGAGTGGCGACGAATATGTACCGTCGGATCTGAGGCAACCCGACAATCCCGACTCACCCCGCGCGGGAGCAGGGGCGGAGCAGGCGCAGCTGCAGGAGAGAGGATTGGGCCGCCGACAGAACCGCAGACCCCAACCCCCCCCGGACCAGGCCCTCTCAGCATCCCAGCTGGCATCGAGGGACGATCTCTTGGAGATCGCGATGAGCTGGGACTTGTCTACCCTAACATCGACCTCTCACCTGCCTATCGTCCGCCGCCTGCCGCCGCAGATCCTAAGCGACTATTCCACCTGTATGCTGGCAGCGCTCCTACGGATCTCCAAGCTGCCAAACTGCGCGGGAGCTTGGCGGGTCCTCATGTTTCTGCCACGTCTGACCCTACGACTTAGCAGGAGGTCCAGCTCTAGGTGGAAGGTGCTGCGAGAACAAATGCACCTATTCAGATGTGGCCACTGGAACCAGCTGTACAGTGACTACACGGGGTCCCTGCACCAAGCCGAACCACCTCAGCACCAAAATGACCCCCTGGGAATCTGCTCACGAGTGGAAGGGCTGGTGAAACGGGGTAACCTGCGAAAAGCACTTGCAGCCCTCCAACCCTCGCCAGCAGCCCCTGCGACAACCGCGACACTACAGCAGTTGGAATCGAAACATCCCCAACCCCAAATTGACCTGCCCGACTGGGTCCACACCTACACAACACCCACGCAATTTTCGTGCACCACGGAAAACTTCTCAAACGTTCTTGGGGATTGCCCCAGCGGTGTTGGGGCTGGTCCATCTGGGTCAACATTTGAACATTACCGCGACCCAGCCCTAAGTAACATCGAAGTACTAGGGCACCTGCACTCCGCCGTAACCCACCTCCTCTCGACAAACCTCTCCGCCGAGGTTGCAGCACTACTCTCGCCATCCCGCCTCATTGCATTCGCGAAACCAGGGGGGGGGGTACGCCCTATAGCGATAGGAGAATCCCTGCTCCGGCTGGCAGCAAAGGTTGCACTCTCAGAACTGCAAGGAGAAACAAGGCGATTTTTCTTACCCCAACAATTCGGCGTGGCAGTCCCAGGCGGGGCCGAGTTCGTTATCCACGCAGTCAGAGACCTCACCACTTCACATCCATCAAGCCTAGTCCTCCAACTCGACATCGAAAACGCATTCAACTCCATATAGAGGATAGCGTTCTTTAACGCACTCACCAACACCCCGCTCGCCCCACTCATTCCCTTCACACGCTCCTTCTATGCGACGCCTTCACAGCTGCTGACCGATCCCCACTTAAGCACAACGGCACTCACCAGTGGTAGGGGAGTTAGGCAGGGGGACCCCCTTGGACCCCTTCTATTCGCGGCTTCAATCCAGCAGCACCTCAGACGCGTAGCAACAGAACACCCCGAAGTCACAGTCCTAGCATACGCAGATGACATCACCCTGATTGGACCGACGACAGCAACGCTAGACGCACTAAAGGTACTGACACCGCTGCTAGCCCAGGACGGCCTCACCTGCAACCTCCGAAAATCGTCGGCCTGGTCCTCCTCGCCGATCGAAGGTAATGAGCTCCGTGAGGGCCTTCCCCTCACCCACGAGGGGGTACGGGTGCTAGGAAGCCCTGTGGGGTCACAGCGCTTCTGCGCTGACCTCGTCCGCAGTACCTTGACTGACGCGGCGGCACCCCTGGGCTCCTTAGCATCCATCCATCCACAGCATACCCTCCTGCTCCTATCTCGCTGCATCAGCCGCAGAATAGGCTACCTGCTGCGCACCACTCCGGCAGACGCCCTACCTCTCTCAGAATGGCATACGTGGTGCGCCGAACTGCTCAACACTGCCTTAACCGCCGCCAGCATCCAACCACCCCGCCATGACACAGAGTTCAACTTCCTACTTCGCCAAGCAACCCTCCCAGTAGCACTAGGTGGGCTAGGCCTCACGGACCCCACAACTGAAGCAGCACCAGCCTACCTGGCTTCGACAACAGAGGCGCTACGCCTACTCCGCTCACTTGACCTCCCAGCAACCTCGGCGCTAGGGAGCAACAGCAACGCTCTACAGCCGTCGGTAGCACACTCGGTCACCATCCAAGACATGGAGGGACGACTGCCACCACTGGCACTGCAAATCCTCCGCGGGGAACAGGAATCCCCGTCCCAAGACCAGCTGCAGCGCGCCCTTTCCCAGGAAGTACATGCGGCAAAGGCCGACGGCCTGACAGAGGAATCTCGCGCAATCAGGTCTGCCCCCGAGATGGGGCACACACTCCGCCTCGTCAGCCTGAGAGGTGAGGGAGCGGGGGCATGGCTGCAGGCCCTACCCCTAACCCCAGATCTCTGCTTTTCACCAGGGCAATTCCGAACAGCCCTGGCCTTCCGCATGGGCATCCGGCAGAACGTACCCACCGTGTGCGAATGTGGAGAGCTCGTAGCCGACTGCAGCCTCCCCAACCACTTACTCCGCTGCAGCACAGGCCCTGACCGAACATGCACACACAACCAGCTGGCTTTCGCCGTGGCTAAAATGGCGAGGGAGGCACAGCTGGTGGTATACCTGGAGAACGCGATGTACTCACCACCGGATGACCCGAAGAAGGCAGATGTGATTGTACGCGACCCAGACAGTGGTGAAACATGGATCACAGACACGACCATCACTGACCCCGTGCTACAGAACCGTGACCCAGCAGCCCGCAAACCGCCTGGATGGGCTGCAAGGGAGGCTCAGAAAAGGAAGGAACGGGACTACTACAGGCACACAGAACACGTGGTGTTCAGCGCCCTAGCCGTTGAGACCTATGGGGCAAACGCACCCCCCACGACGGCGTTCCTGAAGCTTCTGGCCACAGCAGCAGCTAGGAACCGCTTCAGGGCCAATCCCTTGGCGAAAACCGCCAAGAAAATGGCATGCCACTTCAGCCAGCGCTGGTCAGTGGCCCTCCAGCGCTCTCAAGCGAATGCCCTGCACACCAAGGCCAGGGCAGGGATCGAGGCGGCGCACCCCCAGATGGCAGCAGACCCATGGCCGCTGCACCTGGGGGACATCCTCCACACGCTGGAGGGGTAGAGGGTCACTGAGGGGGGAGGAGGGTCAGGGGATGGGCCAATGGGGCAGAGGGTCTAAAGGGAACCACAAACCAAACCGTATGCTTGTACCGCCGCTGAATTAATACAAAGGACCATTTGAGAGAGAGAGAGAGAGAGGGAACCCTTAGCCTCTTCCCTCAGCCTCTTCCCTCTGCCCTCACCCTCCCTTGCCTACTTAAAGGCTGCTAGTGCCTTGCTTCTGTCATTATTTCGGGTGTGTTCATTTTCGGCGGCTCGTTCGAGAGAGCGAGAGAGAGAGAGAGAGGGAACCCTTAGCCTCTTCCCTCAGCCTCTTCCCTCTGCCCTCACCCTCCCTTGCCTACTTAAAGGCTGCTAGTGCCTTGCTTCTGTCATTATTTCGGGTGTGTTCATTTTCGGCGGCTCGTTCGAGAGAGAGAGAGAGAGAGAGAGAGAGAGAGAGAGAGAGAGAGAGAGAGAGAGAGAGAGAGAGAGAGAGAGAGAGAGAGAGAGAGAGAGGGAACCCTTAGCCTCTTCCCTCAGCCTCTTCCCTCTGCCCTCACCCTCCCTTGCCTACTTAAAGGCTGCTAGTGCCTTGCTTCTGTCATTATTTCGGGTGTGTTCATTTTCGGCGGCTCGTTCGAGAGAGCGAGAGAGAGAGAGAGGGAACCCTTAGCCTCTTCCCTCAGCCTCTTCCCTCAGCCTCTTCCCTCTGCCCTCACCCTCCCTTGCCTACTTAAAGGCTGCTAGTGCCTTGCTTCTGTCATTATTTCGGGTGTGTTCATTTTCGGCGGCTCGCGCCGGCGGCCTTCGGCCGCCGCCGCTCGCCAGCGCGGCCCTCGACCGCGCGTTACTGGTGGCAAGACACACGAGCGAAAAAAAGACTCCAATGGATGCACACAAGCAGCACAAGCAGTAGAGCAGGGATCTGACTAGAGGTGCGGCATGCAGTACTACGCGCGGCGGAAGCCTACATCGTGTACGGCTCCGCCCCCTCCACCTCAAGCATCGAGCGCATGCACGCCGACACCGCAAGGAGGAGCTGCGCCGACGAGTGAAGGGTGTCTACCGGGGTCCCGTCACGAGCAGCCCCAACAAGATCAAGCGCGTGGCGGGGGAAAGTACGCGCTAAGGGCGCTACCCCGGCGGGCGCTTCCGACACGGGCGCCAAGAGCGGGACGAGAGCTTCTGCCCAAGAAACGCACGATCCTCGGGGACCTGGAGCGTAACTGCTCGGAGTGTTCCGCATGGCCCCACACACCGACACCTGCAAACTCGCCACCCCCTCGCACGCCTCCGCAAGACTCAACAAGCGGCACATGGTCAGCATGGGATCTCTCCCCGCGCGGGTGGGGGGAGGTGCAGTCGGAGCTTCGCGCGGAAACGCCATCAACTGGCCAGGGGCACGGCCAAACGGGAATTGCGGAGCGGAGAAGCCCGGGGCCTGTCGAGGGGTGCGGAACGGCGCCCTCCCCCCTCGCGCGGGCAGATACTCGCTAAAAGTCGGTGCGGGCATGGGATCCGCCAGGTCAGGAGCCGGGGCGACGGGAGGCCCTTGGGTTACGGCGATGTGTACGTGAGCCAGCTCCCCTCCCGCCTGCGCCTGCCGCACCGCCGCTGCCAAAATGTTCACTGCCTGTTCGACAGCGGAGTCCTGACCGCGGCTGTTACCGCCGCACCCGGAGCCATTCCGCCGACCGCGACGACCTCCAGACCCAGCCGACTGCGGACGTGACGGGGACGGCTCGCGGCGAGCAGAATTCAGCGGCGCCCAGGAGATCCCCTCCCCCGCCTCGTCGGAGATCGCCGCGGAGAGCGTCGCGCGGGGGATCGCGCTCGCGGCGAACGCCTATTTTGACCCCCGCGCCCAACAGGATGATGCTGAGGAGAGTGGTGCGGGGGGGAGCGATGGCGCGCTGGAGATCGCTGGTCGCCCGCTCCGTTACGAGGAGGATCGCGCCGCTCAGGAGAACGGCGATGAGGAGATCGCTGCAGCGGAGGCTGACGCGGCGGGGAACGGCCGCGCCCCTCATCTGTCTGGCCAGCAAGGCGGTTTGACGCGACCCGAGCAGGGGCCCACGAGTACTCCGGCGAGGTGGGCTGCGGGACTCCCCGAAGAGGAAGGGAGAGCCTGCGCTCAAAGTGGCGAAAGGGCTCACTCGCGGAGGGGCGCGCGGGGACACGTGGACGAGGTCCGGCAGGCTCCTGCTCCTGCTGTGCGCTCTCCGCTGTACCCTCCAGTGCAGGATCGTGACCCGCGGTCGGATCCATTACGCCCGATACCACTGCCGTCGACGCCAGCGCTCCGTCGACGAGCGAGCGATGTTGCCGCCGATCCTCCAACATGGCGCGCGGGGGCGGCAAGTGGAAGAGAAACGCGGGGAATTCGTGTGGGATAAGGCAGCAATCGCCGCGGACAAGGGCGCGGCGCCACGAGTCAGAGAAGAGGCGCAAGTAGCTTCGCTAGAGCAGCACAGCGGGCCCTGCGGGAGAGAGCTAGGGAGGGAGGGGAGACACTTGGTGACGATTCTGGGAATGGCTCAGCGGGTGACCCCTCCTTTATCCCCGAAAGGGAGGGGAGTTCGAGTCCCGCGACAGAAGAAGAAGAGGCTGACCCAGCCCAAGGAGTGGGTGAAATCCCAACTGGGGGCCGAACCGCATCTGCAATTCAAACCCCTCGAAATCGGGCCGTGAGGGGAAACCGAGCCACCACCAACGCTGGGGTTACCACTACCCCCAACAACCCTGCACCAATCGTCAGCGCGGACGACCTGGCCGGCCGCCGGGACCTCTTCGCTGACATCGCCACCTGGGACCTCTGCCCCCTGCGCGATAGCAGACAGCCACCCCTCGCCCGCCACCCACCCCGCCCACTTCGCGAATCCTTCGCAATCTGTCTCCTGACCCCACTACTCCACCTGGCGAAAAATCCTGACTTGTCTCCTGGTTGGAAGCTGCTGATGTTTCTTCCGCGTATCCTGCTGCGCTCCTCGTCAGCCCGCAAACCTGATTGGAAGGTCATGGGAGACAGACTGACGAGATTTCGCCAAGGCCTGTGGCGTGACCTGTATAACGAGGCAGCGGATGCAGTCACCAACAACCCCCAACCACGTCACGTACCTGACACCACGGGCAAGCTGGCGAGGGCCGAGGGGTTGGCCAAAAGAGGTAACCTGGCAAAATCTCTCCAATCCCTGACTGCCACGCCCGTCTGCCATCGAGCGCTGAAGTCCTTAGTGCACTCACGGTCAGGCATCCAGAGGCCTCCCTTGCCATACCGGACTGGGTGCACGACTTCGCCTCTGAGACCGTACCCTCAATCACAGCCCGTGACTTCAGGCGTTTGCTCGCTAGATGCCCGAACGGTGTAGGAGCCGGGCCCTCAGGAACCACCTTCGAGCACCTGAGAGATGCGGCACTCGGGAACGCCGACGTCTTAGTACAGCTACACACACTCACCAACACGGCGCTTGCGGGAAAACTGAGCGTAGAGGCGGCAGACCTCCTCACAGCGTCGTGACTGCTCGCTTTCTCGAAACCACAGGGCGGAACGAGACCGATAGCTGTGGGTGAATGTCTGCTACGCCTCATCGCCAAGGCGGCTCTTTTCCTAGCCGCTCCCGCGGCTCGCGAGCACTTCATCCCGCTCCAATTTGGAGTAGCGATCGCCGAAGGCATCGAAGCAGCGATACACACTGCGCGCACCTGCCTGGAGGAGTTCCCAGGAGCGACAGCTCTGCAGATCGACCTAGCAAACGCCTTCAACGCAGTCGAGCGCGCGGCAGTGTTCGAGGGACTGTAAGGCACCGCCCTCGACTCCCTCGTGCCTCTCGTCCGCCTCTCATACGGCCGCCCTTCCGCACTCTACCTCGACCATGACTTTGGAGCAGAGCCACTTCAGAGCGCTCGAGGCGTGCGCGAGGGCGATCCTCTAGGACCCATGCTATTCGCAGCCAGCATCCACCCATGTCTCGTCGCCACGGCAGCGGCCCATCTGGAGGTGATGCTTCTCGCGTACGCAGATGACATCGTCGTGCTAGGCGAGGCGGCGAACTGCACGGCGGCATTCACTCACCTCACCGAGGCCCTCCTCAGCCACGGCTTGGCCCACAACCCGGCGAAGTGTGAAGCATGGTCTGCCATCGCCTTGGATCCCGCCACCCTACCCCCAGGCATCAATATCTCCCTGGACGGTGTCCGCGTCCTAGGCAGCCCCATCGGGCCACCCACAGGCTGTGCTGCTCGAGTGCGCGAACGACTTTCTGCAGCAGCCGAGCCGCTACCGCTCCTCTCACAGATGGACCCGCAGCTATGCCTGCTATTGCTCACCCGCTGTGTGAGTCGTCGTGCCTCGTTCCTGGTCAGAGCCACACCGCTCGAGGCCCTGCCTCTAGGGGAATGGTCCGCCTGGGGGGAAGAGCTGCTCCACACCTACCTGACTGCCGCACACACAACGATCCCCAGGGACCGGGCAGAGAGGGACAGAATCTGGCAGCAGGCCGCCCTGCCCGCGTCTCTGAGAGGCCTCGGCATCACAAACCCTGCAGTGGAGGGGGGATTTGCTTACCTGGCCTCAGTTGTTTCGGCCGCCCACCTGCTGCGCTCTTTCGTCGACTCAGCAAACCCGGCCCTCACGGGACTCTTGCCGCTGATGGATGCTGACGAGGAGTCCACCTCCCTCCTCCCGAGACGCCTAGCTGCCTTGGAAGCCGAGCTGCCGCCTGACGGGATCGAGGCTCTCCAAGTGGGGAGGCAAAAGCCTAACGGGCCCAAGCTCCAGCAGGCACTCTCCCTCGCGGTACACACAGCCCGGTACATTAGGCTGCTGGATAGCTCGCGGGACATGGAGCTGAACCCGCTGTCGGGCCATACGCAGAGGCTGCAGTCCCTCCTAGTCCTGGGGGCGGGGGACTGGTTGCACGCGGTCCCCTTAATCCCTTCCCTCCGCCTCGGGCCCTCTCAGTTTTCCACGGCGGCCTCCTTCCGCCTGGGCCTGCCCTTACTTGTGCCAAGACGCTGCAACTGCAGATACCGTACCACCTTCCCTGACGACCGCTTGCCGAACCACCTGATGCAGTGTGAGAAAGGGGGGGGGGAGAATTGCCACTCACCATGCACTGCGGGACGAGTGCGCGAAGATAGCAGCTGAAGCAGGCTTCACAGTGCACAAGGAGATGACGGCATACTCACCGGTCGAAAACCTCAAAGCGGATATCTCTATCCGCCATCCCGACACCGGTGAGGTATGGATTTGTGACATCACAGTCACGGACCCCGTCTCCCACCAGGATGAGCAGGCCCGTAAGGCACCCGGATGGGCAGCAAGGATGCAAGAGGACAAAAAGGAGAGCAAATACGCCGGGCGGAGCGCTTGGGTGGGCTTTTACGCCATTGCAGTAGAGACGTACGGAGCTAGCGGGCAAGCGGCGGTTCAACGCCGCTCCGAAGTCGAGGGAGGTCGCTAAGCTACTTACCGAGTACCGGCAGCGATGGAGCGTGACCCTGCAGAGAGCCCAAGCCAACGCCCTCAGGGATAAGACCCATGAGGCTCTTACTGCGGATGTGCTTGGCCTGCAGGGCCCGTTTACTCCACTGAGCGAGGGCCAGCTGTACCAACTGATTGAAGACCCCTCCGGCTACTAGGGCCGGAAGGGGAAGGGGCGGATTTTAGTTGTGCTAGGATAATAGAGTGCTGCTGTAGCTTGGCTGTGTGTAGATGTTGCCTACCTTGTGTGTACCTTGGTGATATTAATACGATGGACCGCTCGAGAGAGAGAGAGAGCTCTTCAGGTATGCATTGCCCCAGGGGCTGCACAGCGAAAAGGAGAGGAGCGGAGAAACGAGGAGAGGAGAAACGAGGAGAGGAGAAACGAGGAGAGGAGAAACGAGGAGAGGAGAACGAGTAAGGGATAGCAGTCGGTTGGCCTGCTGTTTAAAGTAGTGTTTTGATACGTCTCAAAACACTACTTCAAACACGAAGGGATAGCAGTCGGACGGCCTGCTGGTGTGAGTGAAGCGAACACCTCTGCCCACCGAGGTGACTCTTGAGTCGACTCAAAAGTCGCCTGCTGGTGCGAGTAAGCGCGCACCTCTGCTCTGCCCAACGAGGTGCGTGCTTATATGCCCCAGCACCTCTGCCCACCGAGGTGCGTGCTTGTACGCCCCAGCACCTCTGCCCACCGAGGTGCGTGCTTATACGCCCCAGCACCTCTGCCCACCGAGGTGCGTGCTTATACGCCCCAGCACCTCTGCCCACCGGGGTGCGTGCTCATACGCCCCAGCACCTCTGCCCACCGAGGTGCGTGCTTATACGCCCCAGGACCTCTGCTCACCGAGGTGCGTGCTTATACGCCCCAGCACCTCTGCCCACCAGGGTGCGTGCTCATACGCCCCAGCACCTCTGCCCACCGAGGTGCGTGCTTATACGCCCCAGCACCTCTGCCCACCGAGGTGCGTGCTTATACGCCCCAGCACCTCTGCCCACCGAGGTGCGTGCTTATACGCCCCAGCACCTCTGCCCACCGAGGTGCGTGCTTATACGCCCCAGCACCTCTGCCCACCGAGGTGCGTGCTTATACGCCCCAGCACCTCGTTTCTGAAACTTCTCTAAAGTGAGTGAGTGTGCTTATATGCGCCAACACCTCGTTGGGCCGAGGGCTCTTCAGATACGCCTTGGCCCACAGCCTGCACCACTCACTCTGCTGCGGTGGAATTGAGATGTGCTATGACTTCCGACCCTTGATCCACACCAAACCCCGGCAGCGTTGCGAATATCACAAGAGCGTCAGAGGCCACACACGCCACATTGTCACACGGCTGCGCTACAATCACATCCTCGTTTGTCACATCCTCATTTGTCACATCCTCGTTCGTCACATCCTCGTTCGTCACACCCCCTGCACTCTCCTCCCCATCATCACCATCCGTGCTATCAGCACCATCACTTCCATCATGAGCACCGCTTTCTATGCTCCTCAAAGCTGCATCCTCAGAACCACCCGTTTCAGTGCTCCCACTGCTCTTCTTTTGAGTCGACTCAAGAGCATCAGCACCATCACTTCCATCATCAGCAACGCTTTCTATGCTCCTCAAAGACGCATTCTCAGTACCATCCGTTTCAGCGCCCCCAGTGCTATCTGCTGCACGCAGCAGCCTCCCATCACTACCCTTTCCAGTTTTCCCTCCTTCCGCTTCCTTCTCCTTCTCTCCCTTCTCCTTCTCTCCCTTCTCCTTCTCTCCGTTCTCCTTCTCTCCCCTCTCCTTATCTCCCTTCTCCTTCTCTCCCTCCTCCTTCTCTCCCTCCTCCTTCTCTCCCTTCTCCTCTTCCCTCACTTTTTCTACCCTCTCTTTTTCTACCCTCTCTTTGGCCCTCTCTTTTTCTGCCCTCTCATTTTCTGCCCTCTCTTTTTCTGCCCTCTCTTTTTCTGCCCTCTCTTTTTCTGCCCTTTCCTTTTCTTCCTTGGCAGCAGCCTGCCGCTTCCTCTCCTCAGCAGCCTTCCAGGCCTGATGCGCCTTGAGAGCGATCGCCTCGCACTCCTTGGATGAAAACCGTAAGAAGTAGCACTCCAGCGACCCGCGGTGACCCAGCTCTGGGACAAGGCGAACGGGACAAGGCGAACGGGACAAGGCGAACGGGAGAAGGCGAACGGGAGAAGGCGAACGGGACGAGGCGAATGGGACAAGGCGAACGGGAGAAGGCGAACGGGAGAAGGCGAACGGGAGAAGGCGAACGGGACAAGGCGAACGGGACAAGGCGAACGGGACAAGGCGAACGGGACAAGGCGAACGGGAGAAGGCGAACGGGACAAGGCGAACGGGAGAAGGCGAACGGAAGAAGGCGAATGGGAGAAGGCGAACGGGACAAGGCGAACGGAGAAGGCGAACGGGACAAGGCGAACGGGAGAAGGCGAGCGGGACAAGGCGAACGGGACAAGGCGAACAGGAAGTGGAACACACGCAACGTAGGAACACACGAAAAAGAGGGGAGGAACACACGGAACGCAGTACGAGTCAGGGCGTAAGCTGTAATTGTTTATTTCTCAACCAATTTGTTTTTAGAATTCTCAGAAATTAAACTTGTCTCGGGAGGAACACACGGAACGCAGTACGACGAGTCAGTCGGAAATCTGCCTTGAAAGAGATCCTGCTTTTTCACTCAGCCATACACTCAATCCATGGAAAGAAAACCCCCTCCCTCCCTCCCCCCCACCCTTCCTCCCTCCCTCCCTCCCTCCCTCCCTCCCTCCCTCCTCCCTCCCTCCCTCCCTCCCGTGGGTGGGGAGGGGAGAGGGGAGCTTGTGTGTGTGTCGTGCCAATCAGCCTCTCAAGTTACTCTTTCTCGCATTCCTCATGGTCAGCCTGATACTAGCCCATGCCACACTACGCTCATTAACTCACGCACTCACCCACCCACTAACTGACTCACTCCCTCACTCGCCCACTGACTGACTTACTCACTCACTCACCCACTGACTGACTTACTCACTCACTCACCCACTGGCTGACTCACTGATAGAATGACTAACCAGCTCGTTTACTCACTCCCACTCACTCTCGCATTCCTCGTGGTCCGCCTGGGGCAGCGTGCCAGGCATGAGCACGAGAGTCCTGTTGTGCAACAAGGCGGCACTCAGCACAGCGCCCATCACATGCAGCTGCGACCCTATCCCGTGCCACCCCATGCTCAGCCACTCCACCAGCATCACCCGCCGCCCCTTGCACTGCCTGGGCGGGAACTGCTGTCGCCATATGTCCGTTTGTGCTTGGCGGGTGGCTGCCAGGTTGGCCGCATCGGAGCCTCGGATCTACAGGAGGGGTTGGGGGCAGGGAGAAGGAATGAAATACACTTAATCCTCGTTATATAGCTCGTTAGCAGTGCTGCCAGGTTGGCAGCATCGGAGCCTCGAATCTGCAGGAGGGGTGGTGGTGGGTAGGGAAGAGGAGTTTTGTCATTCCTGATATGATCCAGAGAACAATGCACTAGGATTGTGGAACTCGGCACAGCCCAGCACAGACAACTGTGCAGCACAGCACAGCACCCCACCACACCGCACGGCACCGCACAGAACAGCTCCGCACCAAACAGCACCGCACACGGTGGATGCAACTGTCACCCAGGGGGGTTGCGGCTCACCCAGGGGGGTTGGGGCACGTTGCCGCATGCAGGGTTGGGAACAGCCCAGAAGGGCGGCTCCCCCCGCTTCCCCCATTTCTCCGTGGACAGGCGGAAGGCTGTGCGCGCCTCACAGTCCTCCAGGTGGGGCGCGGGGGGAACGTCCGGGGGAAGCGAGAAGGCGGAGGGGGGAAAGGGATTTTCCGCCTGCAGCCCATAGGCGCTGTCCCAGTGCTGGTTGGAGTGAGAGGGTGCGGTGGGGGTTGGGGGGGAGGGAGGTGGCGGGGAAAGAGTGGGGAGTGGGGATATCAGGGGGGATCTACATGTTGGAATGGAGGAGGTGGGGGAGGGAAGTCGGGGGGCCTAAGGGGGATCGGATGAGGAGGGGAACATCGGGGGGGAAGCGAGACGGCGGAGCGCGGAAGGGGGAAAGGGATACTCCGCCTTGAGTCGACTCGACACAGATGAGTAAATAGTGGGCTCGAAACAGATGCGTTCTGAGTCGACTCAGACACACCGACATAGGCACACCTGATACAAGGTCCGCAAGGCCTCCAGAAACGAATCTCCCTCGGAGCGCTGAACCGACGCTCGCACGACCCATGTCGCCGGGAGCGCAACGGTCATGAGTAGAAGGAGGATCGCAACGGTCGCGCGACGGCGGAGGAGGAGGGCGACGCGGGTCATGAGAGGGACAGTGGTGACGGTCGTCGTTCTGTGAGCAGTGGCATTGATCGGACCGTTGCGGACCATGCTGGAGTCAATCTGAGAAGTCTGCTTTTGAGTCGACTCAAAAGTCGGACCGTTGCGGACCATGCTGGAGTCGATCTGAGAAATCTCAAAAAAGGAGTGGGGCGACGTGGATCATGAGAGGGAGAGTGATCATGATCGTTCTGTGAGCAGTGATCGGACCGCGGCTGCGGACCATTCTCGGCTATTCGTAGTACGAACTACGGATGGTGGGAGACGAGAGGCGGCGCAAACCCGACGGACGACGGACGACGGACGACGGACGACGGACGACGGAAGGCGGAGACGGCCGGAGGACGTTGTGAGTGAGAGCACTCTGACCAACGAGCACGTTCGGCGCCGTGAGGCCCGGCGCAGCGCGAACCACCGTCGCACGGACCAACGGGTTAGCGACAACTTCTCGACGCTGCTCTTTTGTCCGATGTACAAGAAAACGCTCCTGGCAAGACTGAGCTGAGCGTCTGTGGAACGATGTTCCTTCCGGATCTTGCACGTTCTTGCACGCGACGACGATGCGCCGTAACGTAACAAACCCAACCCACGACCTAAAACGCGGGAAAATTAAAAGTTGCATAAAAGCGAACGTGGAGAGCCTGATTTGCATAAAAGCGAACGTAGTTTACTCGAATCGCGCTTCCCATTTATAGCATTCCCAGCAGTCATTTGACGGAATCCGTCTCTGCTCTGTCAAGATATCACGAGAAGGTGGTGGTGGTGGCGAGTAGGGTGCGAAACAGCGAGCACTCTTGCGCATGTTACTCGGGGCTTGCGAAACCACCCAAGTCAAATGTGGTGGGTGGTGGGTCATTCGTCACGAAGACTTTCACATCCAGCGAAAGCTTGGACCTAGACGAGGCTACACGAAATTTCTACGAAGAATTTACCATCGTTGCCGTGCCTCACGAAGGTTCGCTAAACAGTACAGTGAACCAGGACAACCCCAAGCTTGGCTGATGACCAAATCCGCTTATCCATGGATCAGCTACATCCATTCTCATCCCCGTTATTACTGAAACTGGAACAACGACATTTCACAATCGAAAATATTATATTTAACGATGTACACATCGGTATTTCTTCGTGATTCCATGCTCTAACTGGACTAGGCCTTCACGAAGGCAAAATCAACACCATTGATTTCCTTAGATTTCATCAGGAATCTTTCCGCACCGTCTCCGCAGCTTTTCAGGTCCATGAAGAGCCATTGCGAGGCAAATGCCGAATGTTCCGGTTCCGTCGCTTCGGGAGCAGCAAAAAGGTCGTCCTTAGCTCCAGCAACGACGGCGACAGCGGAACCAGTCTCACGTGTAGCGCGAACTTGCCGATCCACCGTGGCTCCCGTCCTGCTGACGTGTCTTTCCGCGCTACTAATTATCGCCTTAGCGGTAGCCGGATGGGTGGCGCCTCCGGGAACCCTCAGCGCACTCGCTTGGGGGAGGGGGGTGGGAACGGGGGAATCGATCATGGTAGGGGAGGAAAACGGAGATCGGGGGGACAGGACGGGGAAGGGGAACGGGGAGGGGAAGGGGGAGGGGAAGGGGGAGGGGAAAGGGGAGGGGAAGGGGGAGGGAAAGGGGGAAAGGGAAGGGGAGAGGGAGCCTATGGAGAGGGAGTGTTCAATGACGTACATGTGGCCTGATTACATTCCCATTCCAGTGCAGAACCGGACTCTGGAGCAACAGGGACTGAATTCAAGTGAGTACACCTCAAACGGATCTGCCTTCCCTGAGATGAGCACATCTGGCATGGGGAAGGCCAGCTGTGCTCATCCCATAGATAGCCTAAAGAGATTGAATAACAGCCTCCCTGTGCTCCTCATTCCGCGCTGCGCATCCTTCCCAACTTGTCCCTCACTATTCCAGACCCTTTGTACAGCTTGTTCTTATATCGAGAGGGCCACGCCTGGGGAGGCAGCAGCAGTGAGGAGGAGGTGAAGAGGGGTCTCTGTGGGACTGTGCCTGTGCTCTTTATCCCGGGGAATGCGGGCTGCTACAAGCAGGTGACGTGATGCCGGTTGATACAGGCAGGTGTGTTGCGTGGATAACACGCCAAACTAGGCTCTTCCAAGCAATGGGGAGGAGGTGAAGAGGGGTCTCTGTGGGACTGTGCCTGTATTCTTTATCCCGGGAAACGCGGGCTGCTACAAGCAGGTAACGCTTTCAACCGGCTCTGTAGTTGTGGTTCTGATATCAATGCTCCTTGTCTTGCTCAGTCGCTTGCACTTTTTTTTACCATTTTGGTGTAGGTGCGCTCCCTGGCGTCTGTCTCCCACCACATTTACCACGCCTCCAATGCTCAACACGAATTAAGGACCATTCCTCCCTGCTTCCCCTTTTTCACTTTACCTGTCCCCTCTTCTCCCCATCATTCATTCAGGTGCGTTCCCTGGCGTCTGTCTCCCACCACATTTACCACGCCTCCAATGCTCAACACAAATCAAGGGACAGCCCTCCCTGCTTGCTTCCCCGTTTTCACTTTACCTATCCCTATTCTCCCCATCATTCATACAGGTGCGTTCCCTGGCGTCTGTCTCCCACCACATTTACCACGCCTTTCATGCTCAACACGAATCAAGGGACAGCCCTCCCTGCTTCGCCTGTGGAGAAGAGCCAGACACAGCAACTCTGGCAGCAGCAGCAGACTCAGATGGAAGGAAAGAGGCAGGGGAAACGAGAGGAGAAGGTGCCACCGCAGCAGCAGCAGGACCAGGAGAAGGAGGGGGAAATGTAATAGGATCAAAGAATGGAGGGAAGGGATCTGTGGCGTATCCATCTCGCCTAGCGTGGTTCTCGGTGGATCTGAGGGAGCACCTGTCTGCTCTCCACAGCGCCCTCCTGCTCAAACAGGCCTCATTCGTTGCTGCTGCTGTCAATGAGGTGGGTGCTGAATTGCATGTTTGTGGGTACATGTGCACGCGTGTGTGGGTACATGTGCTGAGGGAGCACCTATATGAGCACCTCCCTCCTTTCCCTGGCCCCCTCCCTCCCTCCCTCCCTCCCTGCCTCCCTCCCTCCCTGCCTCCCTGCCTCCCTGCCTCCCTCCTTCCCTCCCTCACTCCCTCCCCCCATCCCTCCCTCCCTCCCTCCCTCCCTCCCTCCCTCCTTCCCTCCCTCCCTCCCTCCCTCCCTCCCTCCCTCCCTCCCTCCCTCCCTCTCTCCCTCCCTCCCTCCCTCCCTCCCTCCCACCCTCCCTCCCACCCCGTGTTCTCTCAGATCCTATCGCTCTACAGGTCCTTATGTGCTTCCATGCCCGCCCGCCCGTCCTCTGTGCTGCTAGTGGGTCACTCTATGGGGGGGATAGTCGCCCGCCTGGCTCACAGGAGGCTGCAAGGGGGAGGAGATGCGAAAGGAGAGAAAATGGAGAGGGAGGGAGAGGAGGGAGAGGTGATGGAGTGTGCGTGGAAGGGGGAGGCACGAGAAGGAGGAGGAGGGCAGGAGAAAGAGAGGGGGCAATGCACATCCAGTGAGATCCAGTGCATTCGTGTTGAGCAAGAGAGGGCCGGACCGCAACATCCAGTGTCAGCCATGTGGACTGAGCTCGCCCAGTCCACATGCACGCGGGACGGACCGCAACATCCAGTGCAGACCATAATCACCATCGCCACACCGCACAGGTAGGTCGAATCTCTTAGAAAAAAATGCATTCAGTGCTACTCTATATAACGCACTTCTGAGCATGCAGCTTTGTAAACCCAGAGGACCAATGTTGCTTCACTTTGCGCCACCACCCAGCCACTACTCACTTTCCTCCCTTCTCCTCATTTCCCTCGCTGTTTCCAACCCTTCCCTGCCCTTCCTGCGTTCTGATCCCCCTTTCCCCTCTTTATCTCCCACTTTCTCCCGTTTCTCCCTTTTCTCCGTTTCCTCCCCATCTTCTCCCGTTTTTCCCATTCACCCCACTTTCCCCCGTCTACCCCAGCCTCTTCCCTCTCCCCCTGCAGCCATCCATGCTCGCGCTTTACCACTCCCTCACCCGCCACCCTTCCCAGCGCTCTCCCTCCTCCCCACTGCTGCTCGCATCGCTTGCTGCTGGCCGGAGTGACTGGCAGGTGAGATTGGCCTGGCGCCACGTGTCAACCTACGACTGGCTGCCCTGGCATCCGACACATTTGTCAGACGTGCAGATATAAGGGACACATATGCACCCAACGTTCTCCCAAATGGTCCTTTGCACAAATCAGCACTCTCCCTCTCTCTTCCTCTGCAGTCGCCTCTTGTGATACCTCCACCATTCCTCCCTGCCTTCTTTCCTTCATGTGTCTCTCACACATGTGTCTCGCCTTCATGTGTCTCTCACACATGTGTCTCTCACACATTTGTCTCGCCTTCATGTGTCTCTCACACATGTGTCTCGCCTTCATGTGTCTCTCACACATGTGTCTCGCCTTCATGTGTCTCTCACACATGTGTCTCGCCTTCATGTGTCTCTCACACATGTGTCTCGCCTTCATGTGTCTCTCACACATGTGTCTCGCCTTCATGTGTCTCTCACACATGTGTCTCGCCTTCATGTGTCTCTCACACATGTGTCTCGCCTTCATGTGTCTCTCACACATGTGTCTCGCCTTCATGTGTCTCTCACACATGTGTCTCGCCTTCATGTGTCTCTCACACATGTGTCTCGCCTTCATGTGTCTCTCTTACATGTGTCTCGCCTTCATGTGTCTCACACATGTGTCTCGCCTTCATGTGTCTCTCACACATGTGTCTCGCCTTCATGTGTCTCTCACACATGTGTCTTGCCTTCATGTGTCTCTCACACATGTGTCTCGCCTTCATGTGTCTCTCACACATGTGTCTCGCCTTCATGTGTCTCTCACACGTGTCTCGCCTTCATGTGTCCCTCACACATGTGTCTCGCCTTCATGTGTCTCTCACACATGTGTCTCGCCTTCATGTGTCTCTCACACATGTGTCTCGCCTTCCGCCACCCTCCTCTTTACTTCATTGCACACACTTTACACGCCCACCCTCCTTATTCTCCTCCTTTAACCCTTTCCGCCCTCCTCTGGCCCCTTCCCCCAACCTCATACTATTTCCTCTTTGTCCGTTCATGGGCGGCAGCAGTGCCCCCGTCCTCAGATACCACCTCCCGGCACCTCCCATTCAGCACCTCCCCTCACGTCTGCTCTTATTTCCCCTTTGTCCTCCCCCTCTCCCCACTTTCCGTCACCCTCCTCCCCCGTCCCTCCAGGTCCGTTCATGGGCGGCAGCAGTACCCCCGTCCCCAGATACCACCTCCCTGCACCTCCCATTCAGCACATACTCTCACGACTGCTCTTATTTCTCCTTTACCCCCCTTCCCCCCTTCCGCCACCCTCCCCCCCCTTCCTTCCAGGTCCGCTCATGGGCGGCAGCAGTACCCCCGTCCCCAGATACCACCTCCATCCACCTCCCATTCAGCACAGCCCCTCACGTGTGGCTTTCAGCAGGGCACGAGCAGGCAGTGTGGTGCAACCAGCCCGTGGCTCAGGTGAGCGGTGGTATGTGGTGGTATGTGGTGCCAGTGTTAGTCTGTGCTTTGCCTGTCAGCACAGCCCCTCACGTGTGGCTCTCAGCAGGGCACGAGCAGACAGTGTGGTGCAACCAGTTGGTCATTTACGCCATTTCAGCCCACGTACACGTAACGTACGCGTACATGTACGTTTACGTGTACGTACGTGTACGTACGCCGGGCAGGTAAAAGAAAAAGTTCCCCTAGAAAATTATTTGAAAACGGTTTCCGAAAACCTAAAAAAGAAATAAGCTTTCGACGACCTGTGCTCTGTTAGCGTGTTAGTACGGCGTGACGTTTTTCAAAGTAGTAATGTAAGAAACATGAAGGTTGCTAGCTAGGGTTGCTATGGTGTGGCGTCTACCCTACGTACTATGTCGACTAAGGTGGTAGAACTACGATAGCTAAGTCTGTCGAGAGAGGGAGGGAGGAAATTGTGGTGGGAGTAGATCTGAATGTGTACAAACTGTTCGCGATAGAACATTGCGAGCAGTTTGACTCAGATCGCGATTGCTTCGCTTGCAAGGTAAGCGAATGTCACCCGCTCGGCAGTTTCGTCACCGCCGACCTTCACTGGTTTCGGTGAATCCCAACTTCGAGTCAAACCAATTCGCATGATGGTATTTTTGTTATTTGGGAAATTACGAGGTTGTAATGGAATGTTTACACTATATGATGGAAATCATGATTACGAGGGAGTACTATAGAAAAAATATACATATTCGGGCAGCCCAGAATTTTTTTCACTTGCCCGTACATTAGGCCTCCAACCCAACAGCCGCGTAAACGTACGTACCCGTACACGTACGTACGTAAGCGTAAACGTAAATGACCAACTAAGAACCAGCCCGTGGCTCAGGTGAGCGGTGGTGTGCGGTGGCATGCGGTGATGTGTGGTGTGGTGGTATGCGGTTCCAGTGATTGTCTGTACTGTGCTGCTAGCACATCCCCTCACGTGTGGCTTTCAGCAGGGCACGAGCAGACCATGTGGTGCAACCAGCCCGTGGCGCAGGTGAGTGGTGGTATGCATGCGGTGGAGTGTGGTGGCGTGTGGCGGTATGTGGTGGACTGTGGCAGCATGTGGTGCCAGTGCTATTCTATGCTGTGCTGCTTGTGCGTCCCTTCGCGTGTGGGGCTCTCAGCAGGGCACGAACAGGCAGTGTGGTGCAACCAGCCTGCGGTCCAGGTGAGTGAACGTCAATGAGGTGAGTGCAGGTGGGTGAGGGTGGGTCATTGTCGGTGAGGGTGGGTGCGGGTGTGCCACACACACATCAACAGCCCTTGTATTTTCCCATCTCGACCCTCCTCAACCCAATCCTTTTCCCATCCTTTTCTGCTGTGCTACCTCCCTTGCTCTCCCATGCCCTTCTAATATTGGTCAACCTGCACACATCTCCACCCTTCTCAGCCCCATCCAACTTCCCACTCTCCCCGCTCTTCCTTTTTTTTCCTCCCCTTTTCACCTCAGCTGTCCCACACTCTTTTAGCCCTGGTCAACCCGCGCACCTCACAGCCCTTCTCCTCCTCCAACACACGCCGTGCAATCATCTCCTGCCACCTGTCCGCCCCGCCTCTCCTCCTCCTCCTCCGGCCCTTGCTGCTGGGATCGCCAACTGCTGGAGCTTTACCAAATGAGCCTAACTCACAACAGACAGAACAGCAGAATCAGCAGCAGCAGCAGCAGCAGCAGCAGCAGCCGCAGAAGCAGCAGAATCTGCAGAAGCAACAGCAGAAGCAAGGGCAACGGAGTGACGGGCACACAGCAGTGCAGCTGAATTCAGCCCCATTCATGCACAAATGGGCTTCCCAAGCCCAGCAATCACTCTCCTTCCACATCAACCTGCCTGTGAGCTGACATGCTTTGCTTGTTGGGTTTTGGGGTAGAGGTATAGAAATTCTTGTCTCATTCAGAGCATTCTACCTTCATGCAAAGTTCCACTTTCCCATCTTCCCCTCCTCACCTGCCCCTCCCGCGTCCCTTCCCTCCCTAACTTTCTCTTCCCCTGTCCAATCATATCAGAATGAACCAATATAACGATCCATTAATCGCAGCTCCAGTGCTCTGGTTCTTGTATTGAATGTGCTTTTGAGGCATTGTAAATACTGGTTCCCTCTCACCTGTTCACTCATTATTTCCCCACCCCGTCCCCCCACCCCAACCACAACCCCCTCCCTCCCACCCCACCTCCACCAAACCGTGACCCCCCCAAAACGCTACCGCGCAGATTGAAGCACTATCACTCAACCCAGCAGGCAGCAGCAGCAGGGCCCTCGTTCTTCTATCGAATGTTCTTCCATGCGATGGCTTGAATCTCACCCTCGTTATAAGCACACAGCAGGGGGATGCGGAGGAGAGGCATGAAGAGGGTACCCTCGATAGAAGAAAACAGGAGGAGAGGAGACAGGGAGATGATAAGAAGGGGAAAGGGGAGGAAGTGGGAGAGGGAGAGGATGACGTGTCGTCCTATGATTTGACACGGTTGCTCGTGCCTCTGCCTCAACCACCCAGAAGCAATTCCTTTGTAAGTGCCTTTCAGTGCATCATCCCGCCCCGTGTCGTCAAATACAGAGGGAAAAAAAGAAGACACTAAGTGAAATCTTCAGTTTCTAAGACGTGCTTTGTGACACTCTGCTCTTCCTCCCTTCCCTCCCTCCCAGTCTCTCCCAGTATCACCGGCATCACAGCAGGTCACAGGACAGGTGCCCCAGCCGTCCCCTCCTTCTCTGCTCATGCTGCCTATCCCCTCGCCTCCCCTTGCTCCCTTTGGCTCCCCTTGCTTCCCCTCGCCTCTCCTTGCCTATTTCCCTCCCAGTCCTTGCCAGTATCACTGGCATCACAGCAAGTCACAGGACAGGTGCCCCAGCCGTCCCCTCTTGCTCTGCTCATGCTGCCTCTGGAGATAGCAGTTGGGGGTGGTGGTGGTGTGAGAAAGGCCACTTTGCGCGTGAATATCAACACCAACACCAAGGTGCGGAGTTCTCTATAAGTACTTCTTTTAGAAACCGATGCACAGGTGATGCTCATGTGATGCACAGGTGATGCTCATGTGATGCACAGGTGATGCTCATGTGATGCACAGGTGATGCTCATGTGATGCACAGGTGATGCTCATGTGATGCACAGGTGATGCTCATGTGATGCACAGGTGATGCTCATGTGATGCACAGGTGATGCTCATGTGATGCACAGGTGATGCTCATGTGATGCACAGGTGCTGCTCATGTGATGCACAGGTGATGCTCATGTGATGCACAGGTGATGCTCATGTGATGCACAGGCGATGCTCATGTGATGCACAGGTGATGCTCATGTGATGCACAGGTGATGCTCATGTGATGCACAGGTGATGCTCATGTGATGCACAGGTGATGCTCATGTGATGCACAGGTGATGCTCATGTGATGCACAGGTGATGCTCATGTGATGCACAGGTGATGCTCATGTGATGCACAGGTGATGCTCATGTGATGCACAGGTGATGCTCATGTGATGCACAGGTGATGCTCATGTGATCCACAGGTGATGCTCATGTGATGCGCAGGTGATGCTCATGTGATGCACAGGTGATGCTCATGTGATGCACAGGTGATGCTCATGTGATGCACAGGTGATGCTCATGTGATGCACAGGTGCTGCTCATGTGATGCACAGGTGATGCTCATGTGATGCACAGGTGATGCTCATGTGATGCACAGGTGATGCTCATGTGATGCACAGGTGATGCTCATGTGATGCACAGGTGCTGCTCATGTGATGCACAGGTGATGCTCATGTGATGCACAGGTGATGCTCATGTGATGCACAGGTGCTGCTCATGTGATGCACAGGTGATGCTCATGTGATGCACAGGTGATGCTCATGTGATGCACAGGTGATGCTCATGTGATGCACAGGTGATGCTCATGTGATACACAGGTGATGCTCATGTGATGCACAGGTGATGCTCATGTGATGCACAGGTGATGCTCATGTGATGCACAGCCGTCCCCTCTTGCTCTGCTCATGCTGCCTCTGGAGATAGCAGTTGGGGTTGGTGGTGGTGTGAGTGAGAAAGGCCACACTGCGTGTGAATATCAACACCAACACCAAGGTGCGGAGTTCAATTCCCAGCGTAAACACCAGCGTACCCAAACTTTGAGACGCCTCCATGTCCCTCTTGTTTCACGGCGCAAGCCTTCTCCCCCTCCCCACTCCACGTCTTTGGGAGCAGTCACAAGAACGAGCGACCATGAGGCGCCTAAGAAGAACGAGCAATCGCAACCTCCCATCTCTTTTTCCTTCTCTCCTTCCTCCATCCATGTTCCTCTTGTTTCACAGGGCAAGCCTCGCCCCCCTCTGCACTTCCTCTCTGTGGAGCTGGCACCACTCAATCTCCACGCTCAACTTACTCCCTCCTTCTCTTCCTCCTCCTCCTCCTCCTCCTCCTCCTCCTCCTCCTCCTCCTCCTCCTCCTCCTCCTCCTCCTCCTCCTCCTCCTCCTCCTCCTCCTCCTCCTCCACCACCTCCTCTCCATCAAGGTCTCTCTCCCTGTTATCCTTGCTCCTCTCGATCTTTCAGCCTCTACGTCTGGTAGGTAGACCAAGGCTCAGAGTAAGCCTGTGTTCACTGAGGTAGACCATCCGCCTTCATACCTTGTCTCTCCGCTGATGCTCTCCTGGCATGCAGCACGTGTCTTCACAGGACAGGTGAGTAATTTCACTACCTGTTTAAAACTCACGCATTCTGCTGTTAATTTCACTACCTGTGTGCAGCCACTGTCGTCAATCCTGCTTGACCCAAAGAAGCAGCAGCAGCGGCAGCAGCAGCTTCTGTCGGTCTTCTCGCTCCCACCTGCAGCTGCTCATTTCTCTCTGCACCTCCGCCTGCTGACCTCTCAACCTCAAACCACCTCCAGCCTTTCTCCCGGTACGTTCCTCCACTTTTGAGACGTCTCCAGTATTGATTTTTGAGATTTGAACCTGCCAATGGGAATCCCATCATTAGCGGCTGGATGGGTGCCCTTAGACGGGAGTCTTTTCTAAACCCGTCCCCTCTCCCCGATTCCATCCCCTCTCCCCGATTCCATCCCCTCTCCCCGATTCCATCCCCTCTCCCCCATTCCATCCCCTCTCCCCATTCCATCCCCCTCTCCCCCATTCCATCCCCCTCTCCCCCATTCCATCCCCTCTCCCCGATTCCATCCCCTCTCCCCCATTCCATCCCCTCTCCCCCATTCCATCCCCTCTCCCCGATTCCATCCCCTCTCCCCGATTCCATCCCCTCTCCCCCATTCCATCCCCTCTCCCCGATTCCATCCCCTCTCCCCGATTCCATCCCCTCTCCCCGATTCCATCCCCTCTCCCCCATTCCATCCCCTCTCCCCCATTCCATCCCCTCTCCCCGATTCCATCCCCTCTCCCCGATTCCATCCCCTCTCCCCCATTCCACCCCATTCCACCCCACTCCCCGATTCCATCCCCTCTCCCCGATTCCATCCCCTCTCCCCGATTCCATCCCCTCTCCCCCATTCCATCCCCTCTCCCCCATTCCACCCCACTCTCCCTCATTCCACCCCCCTCTCCCCCATTCCATCCCCTCTCCCCCATTCCATCCCCCTCTCCCCCATTCCATCCCCTCTCCCCCATTCCACCCCCCTCTCCCCCATTCCACCCCACTCTCCCCCATTCCACCCCCCTCTCCCCCATTCCATCCCCTCTCCCCGATTCCATCCCCTCTCCCCCATTCCACCCCCCTTCCCCCCATCCCCCAGGAGCCCAGCCGAGTCCCACCAGTTGCCACCCAGCTGTTGCTATCCTGGCATCTGCTCACACCGCTTCTCCTGCTGCTCCAGCCACATCTGAGACTGCAGCAGCGAGTGCTAGTGATCAGCTTCCCCGAGTTGCTGCTGTAGTTTCGGGTCATCCTGGAGAGCGCAGCTGTATGCTGCACCGCGGAGGACGCGGTTGTAGCGCGATTCCACATCTGTAGCCGGGATTCGGTTCGATGACGCGGACTGCTCCTCTGGGAAGCACTATAGTATGCGGGTTCACGAGACGAAAACTCCCAAAAACTAGGGTTGCTACGAATGCTTGCACTGAGAGAAGCACTGTCGTCGCCCTCTGACTGTTGGCTGAAGCCCATTCTGCTGGTATTGTTAGTGCGAGCGTTCATGCTGATACTATCAGTAGAACTGCCGTTTCCGATGCTCGAAGGAGAACTCATGCAGGTGTAACTCGGACTGCTGCTTCGATCAATTTCGACGTGAAGACTCGCTGCGGGTCTCGTCACCTCAAGTGAACGTCGCGAACTCGAGGAAAGGTTTTGACTCAGGGAACGCGGCGTTCCAGGTGGCTCCAAAGGTCCTGTGGAGACTGCTAATCCGATGGCACTAATCGATCAGCGTCGTACTTTCTTGGCGAAGACTTGTGCTTCTCGTTCCTGCCACGAGTCCTCTTGTACCTCAGACTGGTTCAACAAATGGTTGCCACAGTGGGCAAGGAGAGCTGGGAAAATAATCTCAATATGATTTCCAGATTTGGAACGAAAGTTCTATTTTATCGTGACAGAACAACAAGGTAAGGCGTGAGAAGATTCTCTGGTGGCCTCTCGCTGGTTAGGGTTGGGGTTGCGGTTGGAAATGTACACCTACGCCGCGATGCTCTGCGATTCCCCCCAGGCAACTCATGGATCGTGTCAGTGGAATGTTCATTTTGCGGTTCCTCCTGTCCAGAGCTCATGGAATGTTGCTGTGCGGTGTAGATCAAACGGAGCGTTGTGCACGTCACTCACATGCAGCTGTGCGATTCGTGTGGGAGTGAACAGTTGTAGGAGGTTCAAAGCAAAAGCAGCCAAGCAGTACAATACAGAACAGTACACCCTCATTCTCGCTAGACTGACCTCGGTTAAACTAATCAAACGTTTCGACTAACAACAACTCACCAAAGAAGGTCTTATCACAAGGCTTAAAAGCACATTTTGTTGCCTCGATCATAACAGCCAGCTGTCCCATCTTGTTGACTTCACTGCTGACACCTTTGACCACTATGCACACAGTACCCAAGCTGTGAGTGCAGTGTGGACCGAAATCAAAGACAATCTATCAAGACTACTTACAAATTCACAAACCCGAAAGATGATTGGCGCTACTTTGTTGGCCGTGTTGAAGTGCTGTTGACTTCTGATGGTTCGTTTCACCTGAGGTTGACAGGACAGGTGCAATTTGCAATGTTCAGTTAATGTTTGATTTTGCCACATCAACCCTGGTTTGTCGCCACCTGCACAATTGCCCGTGAAACGGTTAACGGCACAATTGCGAATTCCCCAAGCATTGTACACAGTTCGGGCGATGGTGAGGATGTCGAGAACATGGGTGTACCAGCAGAGAGAGCAGCAGTATTCTCGCAGCAGCTGTGACTCAGAAAGTGAATGCCCGTGGCATCAAGTTTGTGCAATGCAGATGAAGTAAAAATCACAATGGCCAAGACAACAAAGGATATTTTCCCCATACACTTTCATTTTCTATCTGCCCGAATCCCCAAAAGTTTCACCTGGTTGATTTGGGGCAACCTATGATACTACATATCTGATTATTTCGGCGCCTTCTTCTCAATGGATCTCTGTTCTGCGCACATGCGTTTGTTCCTCTATGCTGTTCACGATTCGACAGCTGTCTGATTCGGCAGGCTTCAACAATGTTGGCGCTCCCGATTCTAGGAGATCCGTCCGTGCTTGCTCGCATCTTCCGGAATGTACGATTTCAATGAAGCTGGTTACACATTGGGGAAACAAGTTACCCATTGCCCTTTTGGCAGAGGAATGTTATATATTATATCATGTACGGTATCACTGTCCAGCCAATGTTAGCAAGCTGGCTTCCTAAACGTTGACCGAATGGACCAAGAATGTGCATGCAGCTGGTGCAGAGATTTTAGGGACCTACAATAGTTGATCGGATTGATACTCTAATATCAATAGTTTGTTGGGCTGAGAAAAGCCCTTAGGATCATTTTTCAAGACTAAGGCTCTGAATAGTGATGTATTAGCGGAAGCTGTCAAAATGTTATAATGCTCACATTGTGTAGGCTATAGTGGGGTAGCCCATAAGGAGTACAACCCAATTAGGGTTAGTACTTATACCAAAATTCTGTTAAATGCATTCATTCTTGTTCAGTATTCTGACATGGTTTCAGAGCAGGTCCTGTTCCAAGACCGTTTTTTTATGGCCCACCACATAGCGCTGCCCCACTAGTCGCGTTGCCCTGCCCTGCCTGTCGCGTCGCCCTGCCCTGCCTGTCGCGTCGCCCTGCCCTGCTTGTCGCGTCGCCCTGCCCTGCCCACGCAGAGCCACCCTGCTGCCCGCCGCCCTGCTGCTCGCGCCGCCCGGCAGCTGCCCGCCCTGCGGCGCGCAGCCCTGCTGGCCGGCGCCCTGCTGCCCGCGCGCCGCCCTGCTGGCAGCCGCACCACCCTGCTGGCAGCCGCATCGCCCTGCCCTGCCCACGCGCCGGCCTGCTGGCCACGGCCCTGCCCTGCGTTGGCCGCGTGCCGCTCTTCCCTAGTCGTGCCCCGCCTCTCCCTGCCCTGCGCGCTTCCCTAGTGCTCGAGCGCCGCCCTATCTGCGTGCTGCCCTGCTGGTCGCGCGCCACCCTGCTCTGCCCGCTATGGCTCCTCTCAGTGTTCTCACCTTCAATCATGAGGGCATCCGATCCAGTTTGATATGTGGCTAGACCACTTACAGCTGTACCTACTGAGCGATTCTAGAAACATCGTTTCGTTGTTTGACCACACGTCTGGAGCCTCTCACAACAGCTGACAGTGCGACTCGCTCACAGTGGCTTACCCGTGACGCTGTTGCTCGCTTAGCCGTTCGCAACCACCTGCCGTTAGCCGAACGCGCTCACTTTGGCCAGCACAAGACTGCTAGAGCCCTGTACGACGCTGTAGTCGCTCGTTACTCTTCCCCTGCCACTGCTGCTCTCGTCCGCCTTATACTGCCCTACCTGTTTCTCGAGTTGTCAGCCTTTGCCACAGTCGAGGACCTCGTTACCCACCTTCGCACTAGCGACACTCGCTACCGCGCTGCCCTCTGAGCTGAGTTCCTTGACAGGAACTCGCCCTCGATGTACACCACTCTCTGCTTCATAGTCATCCGCCTCCTTGACTCTCTTCGTGCTGTCAGGGACCCCTTTCTCGCACTTGATCCCACAGACCTCACTGTCGACCTGCTCGAGAAGCACCTCCTTGTAGCTGAGACTAGCACAGTCGCTGTAGGTGCTGCTCGTGGCACTCCTCGCACACCCTTCTTTGAGGGGTGTTCCCCCTCACCCCTTGCCCCCTCCTACGCTTCTGCTGCTGCTGTTGACATCCTTGGTGCTGAGGATGTCAGGGATGCTTTTGCTCTTAGTGGGAAGCGCCGCAGCAGCAAGGGGAAGGGTGGCAAGAATGGTGGTGGGGGCAGCGGGGGTGGTGGTGGTGGAGGCAGTGGAGGCGGTGGAGGTGGCAGAGGTGGTGCCAGCGATGGGAGTGGTGGCGGGAGTGGGGGCTTTGGTGGCGGCGGTGGGGGTAGCGGTGGGGGTGGGGGTGGCGGTGGTGGCGGCAGTGGGAGTGGTGGCGGCGGCAGTGGTGGCGGACGGGGTGGAGCTGTTCAGCGGGGAGGTTTTGGCGGTGGCCAGAGGCAGCACCAGCAGCGTCGGAGCAAGACCCCTACGCCCTAGCAGCTTCGTGAGTGGTTTGCTTAGCGTGGGGCGTCTGGGGGTAGTATTCGCTGCCCGCATGTCATTCGCACAGGTGACCGTGCTGGTCAGACATGCGGGAAGTTTCACACTCTGCACCGCTGCTTCTCCCGCCTTGACGACGCTTGGCACGCAGAGTTTGGAGACGAGGCTGAGCGCCCCCGCTGGCTAGAGCTGCTTAGTGCGGGAGCTGATATATTTGCTCTTGACTATGCTGCTATCCTTGCTGCCATGTATGCCTTGCCTGTTAGTGCTGAGGGTGACTTTTACCTGTGTGTGCCGCCCGACCCAGGTATGGAGGCTGTTGCTCTAGGTGCTAGTGAGTCTGCACTCCCTGGTGCTGCGCCTGCTGAGGCCTTGCACACCTTCACATTTGACTCAGGTGCTTCTCGTTTTTTCTTTCGCGGCAGTACCAATCTCACTCCACTTCCAGCACCTGTTCCAGTCAGACTCGCTGATCCCTCAAGAGGCCCAGTTCTTGCCCGTTCCTTCACTGTTCTCCTGTGTCCGGTGGTTCCGTCCGGCTCACTGTCAGGTGTTCACCTCCCCTTGTTCTCAACAAACTTGGTGAGTGCCACTGCCCTCCAGGACACGATGGTCACTACCACCACTCCTGGGGGTAAGAGTTTGTTGATCTGCACGTGTACACGGACGGGCCGTCACCTGGCCACGTTCACCCGTCGGCTTGGGTCGAGTCTGTACACACTGACTGCTGAGCCTCCTCAGGTAGCTGCGTCGGCTCAAGTGTCCGCGTTAGGTCCGGTAGCAGCCCCCTGCTCGTGTCGCCTCCTGTCGCACCAGACTCTCCTGTGGCACCATCGCCTTGGTCACCCCTCCCTACCACGCCTTCGCGGCATGCACTCCTGCCTCATTGTTTCTGGTCTTCCCAGGTCTCTGCCTCCCCTCCCACCCTCACCTGCCCCGCCCTGCCTTCCTTGCGTCGAGGGGCGGCATCGCGCCGCTCCTCACTCCTCTTCGTTTCCCCCGACGACTGCTCCCCTGCAGACTCTCCACATGGACGTGTGGGGCCCAGCCCGCGTCAGTGGACAGGACCGCGAGCGCTACATCCTGCTGGTTGTTGACGACTACACGCGTTACACCACGGTCTTCCCCTTTCACAGCAAGGGTGAGGTCCTTGATGTCTTGATCCCTTGGATCCGTGCAGTCCGTCTCCAGCTCCGTG